CCTGCTGAAATTGAGGAAGAGCTGAAGGAGTTGATGCCTCTCTCAGATGCAGTTTTAACATGGAAGGGATCAGTGCCAGATCTGTTCACTTGTCTGAAATCTTAACCCAAATATGTAGAAATTGACAGTTGCATCTCTGAAAGTGTGGGGTTTGAAGGACCTTCCTTGTTTATGCTCTGTCTTAGGTATACCTAACTATTTTGAAGCATGGAGATAGTACTACTTTGGACACTATGCTGAAGGTGAGTGCACACTCTTGTTACCACTGCCAGCTTGTGCAACGAGAAGCTAAATACTCCACCCTCCAAGTTCCTCTGAGACACAGTTGATATGCTCACAGGCTCAGGCTGATGTGCCACAGATGATGTGAACTCTTGGGCTTCCTCATGGTGTTCCCTGCTCTGTGTGTAGTGGGAAATTGCCACCTAGTGGAGTGTTGCAGCTCTCATTTTAGGATTCTTTTTCATTGCTTGGAGGCGTGGTCCTACTTGACCTTAGGTAGTGGTGAAGAGGAGTTTATTACTACTGGTAATTTCTGCTGGCGTACGTGTAATGAGGTCTGTAATGTGGAGAGCTGCAGGATGATTCATGACCAAGTTCAATTTGTCACGTATTACCCTGGAAGACTAATTTAGCAGCTCTAGTTCAGTGCATTTAATCCTGTGCACTAACATTGTTCACTTTGGCTTTGAAGCTTCACAAGCAAGCAGACATGCAGGAGGAGAAGAACCGAATTGAACGAGTTCTTGGAGCCATCTCTCAACCAGAACTGATTCAAAAAGTTCTCACCTTTGCACTTTCAGTAAGTCATTGGGAAAGCTGCTGCTTCCTTCCCCTCTGCTGCTGGAGCACTGTGTGCTCAGAACGCATTAGAATAGGAGGAGTAGCCTTAAGGATTAAATCCTTGAGTTGTTTCTTAAAGTCTGTGAGGGGAAGATCAAGCTGGTGTTGGCAGATCCGATGTGGAAGTGCATAAAGTTTGGTGTAGAAATGTGTAAAGCCAAGATGTTGTGTTTGGTGGAAGAGTCTTGAATGCTTGTCTGCACTTTCGTCTTCAGGAAGAGGTACGTCCCCAGGACACGGTATCTGTTATTGGTGGAGTAGCTGGAGGCAGCAAGCAGGGGAGGAAAGCTGCTTGGAAATTTGTAAGGGACAATTGGGAGGAACTTTATAATCGATACCAAGGTGGATTCTTAATATCCAGACTAATAAAGGTAGGTGCAGCTGAGACAAACCCTGTTCCTGGTCCTGTACAGGACCAAACCCAAACTGTTAGATTTGAAATGCTGCAGGCTGACCGTTGGGTGATGTGTTGTTTTTCCCTTCAGCTAACAGTGGATGGATTTGCAAATGATAAAATGGCTGCAGAAGTTAAGGTAAGACATTGTCATGAAAAGAGGGATGAACTTCAGCTGTTGTGTGCCCTGCACTCTAAGCACTGATGGAAGAGCCATGGGTTTGTGTTTTGAACGGTGGCTCTGACCGTTTGGTTTGTTGCCCAGTTCCCAAGTTGCTTTAGGTTGAGTTATTTTACTGAAATGTGTTAAATTGGCATTTTCAGAGGAATGTGATTTCTGCTTCATTAGTTTCACTCATTTAAACTTTGAGCAAATCCAGCCCCGTTTCTGGCAGGGGTTTTAAGACTCCCCAAAAGACAACCTTCAAAGATAGCTGTAGCAAAGTTAGTAGTTGTCACTTCTGTAGTAAGCTGAGACTCAAGCTGCCACTTTCTGCCTCCCCAACCTGATACCACACATTTGGGGCTGACTTCACTAGCAACCAGGGGCTCCCGGGGGAATTCACACACCAGGAATTGGCTGAATTCCATGTTAAAAAGCTTGATGTGGTCATTTGTGCTGGGTGCCAAGAGCAAGGCTTTGGTGCAAGGCAGATGAACGTGTTTGCAGAGTCTGTTGTGAAGTTGGTGGCTCAAGGTGGTGGGATTTCGGTGCTGGACTCGAGCAGCGCAGGCGCTGGGCTTGGCAGAGTTCTGACAACGTGGGTAGCTTTTACTATGGACTCTTTGCCCACACTTTTGCAGGAACTCTTTGGAAAAAGAAACTTAAAAATACGGCCCTTAATTATCACTTTCCTGTTAGGAAAATGCTTGGGAGGAATTCTCATTGAAAAGACAAGCTGAGCCATGAACTCCATCACCTTTTTATCACCCAGTGAGCTCTTCTGAGGAAGGATTTAGTAGCAGAAGTGATTTTACAGAGGAATCTTTCTCTATGATTACTTTATTTTTCTTAAAGAGCACTTTACAGAACACCAGAACAAATCAGAGCTGCTTTTCCAGGAGAGCTTCCTGAGGGAGCAGACCTTTAGCTGGTGTACTTCATGTGGCCGAGTCTCCACATCACCTTGTAGCGGGCATGAGGGTGAGGTGATCTGCCAAACCCTGGGAGAAGCCTGCCTGGGGGATGACTCCTGGCCATGCCAGCTTGTTCTGCCCTTTAACCACCCCAAAAATGCAAAGTCACAGCAGCCTCTGGTGCAGTTTCTTCAGCTATTTTGTAGGGGATCGATATTGTTGCTTCTGGAGGAAGAAATGTGAGACTATTCAGCAAAACTCCTGAGTGCTGCTGGTGCTTGGAGGTCATGATGCAGCTTGGAAAGAGGCCTAGGTAGAATGCTCAGCAATCTGATACCAAGACAAATGCTGCTGCAGAATATGGCTCCAGGCTTCTGTTAGTGTCTTCTTCCAAGTATCCAGAAATACCCACTTGATTTGCTGCTCGCTTGTTGCCTCCCAGTGAGGGACTGAACTCAGCTCAAGTGCTGCTTCCTGTCCCTGGCAGCAAGGACACGAAGGGACAGGAGGCAGTGTAGAAATGCTGCTGTGGCTTTTCCTGAGCAGAGTAATGGAGCATTTTACTCTTCCTCCTCTGTACCTGAAGTTGCCCTTCTCTAAACTTGACAAGCACCCTGCAAATGCCTCAGTGAGTGATGCTGGTGGGAGCAGAACTGTGGTCATAGAATCATAGAATGGGTTGGGTTGGAATGGACCTTAAGATCATCCAGTTCCAACCCCCTGCCATGGGCAGGGACACCTCACACTAGACCTTGTCACCCAAGACTCTGGCCTTGAACACTGCCAGGGATGGAGCATTTACCACTCTCTGGGCACCCTGTGCCAGCGCCTCAGCACCCTCACAGGGAAGAGCTTCTGCCTTTTTCTAACCTGAGCTTCCCCTGTTTCAGTTTGAACCCATCACCCCTTGTCCCATCGCTCCAGCCCCTGATGAAGGTCCCTCTCCAGCACCCTTGGAAGTTCCCTCTCCGGCCCCCTTGTAGCCCCCTTCAGACACTGGAAGCTGCTCTGAGGTCTCCAGCAGCTTCTCTTCTCCAGGCTGAACAGCCCCAGTGTTCTCAGCCTGTCTCCATACGGGAGCTGCTCCAGCCCCTGAGCATCCTCGTGGCCTCCTCTGGCCTTGCTCCAACAGCTCCATGTCCTGATGCTGAGGACCCCAGCCCTGCACCCAGTGCTGCAGGGGAGGGTCCCACACAGCACCTCATTGACGTTGCTCTACAACCAGGGCAACTCGGTGACTTCTGATCTTCTCCCCCTGATGGTTGTGTGCTTTCCACCCAGGCCTTCTTTGAGAGCCACCCAGCTCCCTCGGCGGAACGCACTGTGCAGCAGTGCTGTGAGAACATCCTGCTCAATGCAGCTTGGCTCAAGAGGGACGCCGAGAACATCCACCACTACTTCCTGCAGCGCAAGGCCCCTGCAGCCATGGTGTGAAGCTGTGCATGCCCCTGCTGCAGTCCTGCTGCCGCCTCATGGGGAGAGGGAGGAGCGACCCAACACCTGATTCATATGCCAAGAATTTGGAGTCTTTTTCTCAACCCAATGGGGATTGGACAATGAATGTAGTTTAACTGGTTCCTGCTCACACTCCAGATTGAAATCCTATTCGAATGATCAGCAATTCAGCAAAAAAAACAAACCCCACACAAAACCCACCACACAAACAAAAAGGAAAGGAAAAAGAGAGAGAAAAATCTGTAAATATGATAGTAATAAAATAGAGCATAACAAAACTGTGAAACTTCCTCAAGCCTTGTCAGTGGTTCAGATATTTAACACCCCCCTCCTGCCACTTCTTGACAGATGTTCTGTTTTTTACATCCTCCCCCCCCAAAATAATAACCCCCCAAGCTAAATCAAAGGAAACCAGTGGTTTCTGGGTCAGTGGAATTCTGTGGCGAGTCTGGGGCAGGAATGGGTTAATGCCTCTGAGCGTGGTGGTGTGGAACAGGTCACTGGGGAAGGCTGGTTTAACATAGAGTCTGTGCATCATTGGAAGCGTGAGGTTTTGGGGAGATGTTCCTGCAGCCCCCCCCAACCCAAGGATAGTGAGTTCCCTCCCTTTTGTGTTACCTCTCAGCAAAAAGACAAAATGTTCTGTTGCTCTTCGGTTTTCCTCCTTGGATCCACTTGCTGATGTCCTTCTTAGAGATAACGGGATTGTAAGGAAACATCTTTCATAGCCACATTAAAGAAGAGAAAGAGTCATGCAGTTTGTTTGGGTTTTCTTTTTCCCCCCCATCCCCTCCCTAAATTGCACCCTCCAAATGCATGCAGATGAGGAGGTGCCTCCTGCGTGACTGGTTCTCCCGGCTGCTCTTAGGGCAAGTCTCTGCTCCTCAAGACACCCCGTTAACCTGTCTAAAAGACCCAGCTTGTCCAAGCTCCTCATGGCCGTAGCACCACAAGCTTCTTGTTCTTTTCTGTGATGTTGATGGTAATTTGAGTCAGAAGCCTTAAATTAGTGATGATGAAGTCCAAGCTGTGTGCCATCGTTTCCTTCACAAAGCAGCGTGGTCTAACTAACCAGACCCAGCACCCTCTAACACAAAGGTTGGAGTTCCATCTATTTTTACCCTTTTTCTTTAACAGGAATTCGTATTTGGTGTGGCTTAACTGTATTTCAGAAGGTCATCAGACTAACTGTCAGACTGCTTCCCTCACCCGGTTTTGTGCTATTGTTTAAAAAGAAAAAGAAGATTAAACCAGTTGGCGTTAATAAAAATGTCAATGTGAAATCCATGGCCTCATCCTGTGTTCTGTTTGAAGGGTGTTGCTGCTTTCAAAGGACCTAAACCTCTGAGGGAGCAGCCCGGGTCTCGTGTCCACGGTGTCTTGAACAGCTCCAAGGAACGCCTTGTTCTGCTCTGCTGTCAGGGCTTAGGGCAGCTGAAGGAGCACATCCTGCCCCGGTTGTAAGTAGATCTTTGTGTCATCTGAATCAAGATTGGAGCCGAGCACTAGAGAACTAACCAGGGCAGGGAAGGGGGAAAAGAAACGTGAATAAGCCAATTTCTATTCAACACCTGAAGAGGGATGTGCAAAGAGGGAATAGGATTGTGCAAGTGCTGCTGCTGCTACCCAGGGTGAGCCACAGCAGGGATGAGCACCAGGAATGGGTGAGTTACTAGCTAGTAGAGGCACAGAGCCCTTAAACAGGGTCATGTTGGTTCCTACCCCGCGGGCTGCTGGGGCTGTGTGGCCAGAAACACGGCTGAACCAGGAATTGTGTGTCCCCATCACATCTGTTAACCTGCCCGAGGGTTTTCCTGCTGTCAGCACTGCAGAGCCCATGGGATTTCGGAAGAGTAAGCTGGTTTCTCTTCTGCTTCTTGCACATGGACAAAGTAACATGCAAAGTTGTGATCCCAGCGTGCCCGGTGATGTATGAAACGAGGAGGACTGTAGCTGCAAGTTGAGGTGATCTTGTTTTGACTTTAAACAATGCAAATGACATGCAAGCAGTTGAAGGAGAGGGACAAAAATAACAAGCTCGTGGTCAGTGAGCAAACTGAATAGTCTGCAGCAGAATGACTTGGCCTGGGCTCCTCTATGTGCAAAGAAAGGAGATTTTCATCCTTCGTGAAAGTGAGGTTGGGATTTGTCCACTTAATGTGAAACCTTCTTTTTTCCATAGAAACTGGTTTGGGTTGAAGGGACCTTAAAGCTCCTTCAGCTCCAACCCCTGCCCCGGGCAGGGACACCTTCCACTAGAGCAGGTTGCTCCAAGCCCCTGTGTCCAACCTGGCCTTGAGCACTGCCAGGGATGGGGCAGCCACAAGCTCCTCCGCTCCTCGCAGCACCCTCATAGGGAAGAACTTCTTTACATCCAGCGTTTCCATACCCGTGCTCCATGTTTTAAATGACAGTACAACTAAATGGGATGCAGCAAAAAACTGAACGTGTGAACCTTTAAAAAAACGACCCAAAAAGGAGCAAAACCCCCAACCTCGACTTCCCAAATCCTGCTTTAACGTGTTCGGACTTGTTTCTGTGCAGGGTCATGAGACGCAGCGAGGTTTCCGTGTTACCCACCATTGACTGTCCCTGTGATTAGCTCTTACATCGCTGTTTCAGAGACCCTTCACCCCATGTGCTGCTAAAGGGACCTTAAACCCAGGCAAAACACTTGCACATGTGACAATGCTCCATCACAACAGAGTTTTTGGCCACCAGGATCATGGCTCGTGGCAGCCGTGGAGCTGATACCAACCTGAGTGAAGCCTCTTTCACTGCCAGGCAGATCCTGGTTAGCAAAGGCAGGGGATGTGTGGCTCATCCTTCGGTGGCGATGGCAACGGGAGCCCCCTTCCACCCCCCTGAAGGAAGGACCAAGCAGTAGCAACCGATCCCCAAACCAGGCTGAGCAGTGCCTGGCTCAGTGAGCCCCTTTCAGAGCTCAATTTTCTGCGCTACGAAGGTTGAAGTGATTCCTGTTCCAGTGAAAACGTGTGGGGAAGATACACGGATGTGCCCAAACTCGGAGGCGAGGAGGACGCTGCGCTGTGCTCAGCCTCATCTTCCTCCCTGCGGCCGTGGCGGGGATGCTTCCACTTGGCTTTCACAGGCACCCAAATTGCAAAGGCAAAGTGAGGTGATTTTAAGCCTGACCGTAACCAAAGTGCTTGGAAATCATTCCGTCTAAGCCAGGAAGAGCAGGTGAGTGTCTCTGCTCAGCCTCGTGTAACGCTCGTCTCTGCTGGCGGGATTCCACATGGGTTTTCATCTCCTCACTGTTGGGAACACGCATCTTCTCCATTGCAGCACCTAAGGGAGACTCCTGCAACAGGGATGGAGCACACAGAAACCCTGACCCAGGGGAGGGACACGCTGAGCATCAAGCAGCTTTAAGGTTTTACTCCCGATGAAGGGCTGTGCCTGGTGCTTGTGTTCTTGTGGTAACTTCTTCAACGTGGCATCAGTTAAACTCTTGATCTATGGTGGTTCCTTAGGGGTTCCCGCTGAACTCCAAGCGCTGGGTATGGATCAAGTCACAAACAGCTCCCATCCTTTGGGACTGGGGGGGGAGCTCCGGAGGAACCTGAAGGCAGAGCAGCCTCGCAGGCTCAGGAGGGGAACCTGTCGCCTAGTTCTTGTTGTAACCACGCTGGACTAACCCCGGGGACCCCGTCTCTAGTCGGCAGCTCTCTGCCAGCGCCTGCAGCTGGTTTATGAAGGCAGGAGATGATACAAGCCTCAGTAATGTGAATGCTGAGAATTCCATTTATGGGAATGAGGAGAACACCAGCGCATCGAGCTCCAGCCCAAGTGCTACTGGGGGGAGGCAGCTCCACAGCCTCACTCACCCCCATCTGACCCTGGGGTTTGGGGCTTTCATTGCTACCAAGGGCAGGTGCGCACAAAACTCCTCAATCCTCCTCTCCCTGGTTTCCTGCGGGAGCAATCCCTGAGGAAAGTCATCCTGGGGTTGTAATGGTCACTGAAGCTGCCCTCGCTGCAGCTCAATGAGCTTCTGGGCTGTGTCCTAGAGCTCGGGGCTGGGGAGGGCAACAGCGAAGCAGGTTGGAGCCGCACTCAAACTGCAGCTACGTGAAGCTCCCCTCGCCCTGCACGAGAGGGAAGCTCTCACCCCGCTCCATCCCAAGTGCTGCTCAGCACGTCGGCCGTGACCTGCTACCAGAGAGCTCCGTTCCTCCAGGCTGAACAACGCGTCCTTCTGTTCCCTGGGTCAGGCTGTCAATAGTCATTGGGCTCAAAACAAGGCACCGAAGGGACCTGTCGGCAGCTCCGCGCATCCAGACTCCGCTGCTGTGGATGCAGTGGGGAGCAGCAGCCCCTGCCCTCCCGCAGCACCTCAAAGCTTCACAGTCCCCGGTTCCAGAGCTTTTGGGCTCAGCTTTGGGTTTCCACATGGAGACCGATGCAGGGAACAGCGTCTGCAGCAGGAGGAGGGCAGCAGGACAAGCAGTTCAGATCCCGATGGATGGACACGGGCATCTCTTAGCCCTGTTTGTAAGCGCAGTGAACCTGGAGTACGGCACCGGTGCTCCTCACCCAGAGACCTCAAAGCACTTCACACAAGAAGCTGATTTGGATTTCCCCCCATTTTAAACCCTGAGATTCAAGGCACAGATGGACAGAATGAGTCTTCTGAGCTTTTGCAGGCCTCTGGCGAAGGCAGGGACAGGGTCTGGGTCTCCTGAGCCCCAGAGCACCCGTTCATCCCTGTAACCTGCATTTCTGTAGGGGAATGATCAATCTTTTCTGTGTTCCACCGCTGTGGGCAAGTCCAGGCTGCTCCAAGCCCCTGTGTCCAACC